AGGAGGCAGCAGGGGGAGGTCTGAGAGCCACTCTCACAGATGGGGCTGCTGTGGCCCTGGGTGCTGGGACCTGCTGTGTGGACACTGCCTGCTGGGGGCCTCCATGTTCACTCCTCCCCCACATTCCACTGTGTACACCTGTCCTCTTTCCCTTCCTTCCAGGTCGTTCTGCCTTTAATTGATCAGTATTTCAAAAACCACCGCTTATACTTCCTGTCTGCTGCGAGCCGGCCGCTCTGCTCCGGGGGACATGCCTCGAACAAGGAGAAGGAGATGGTGACAAGGTGAAGAGCTAAACCCCCAGGCCCTGCACCCCCAGGCCCTGCACCCCAGACCCTACATCCCAGATCATGCCCCCTCAGACCCTGCACCCCGCACCCTGCCCCTACAGACCCTGCACCCCACACCTTGCCCCTGCAGACCCTGCCTCCAGACCCTGCCCCCACAGACCCCGCACCCTCAGACCCTGTACTCGCAGACCCTGCACCCCCAGACCCTGCACCCCACACCCTGCCCCTGCAGACCCTGCACCCCAGACCCTGCCCCCACAGACTGTCTGAGTGCGTTTGCGCTGGGGAGGGAGGGACAGAGGAGGGCGGGCCCTGAGTGGGCTGCTGGCTGCCCATGGTGGCGCCCTCTGTCCTGCCTGTCCCCCTGCAGAAGGGGATGGTTTCTGCAGATTAACCCAGGGGATCTAGATGTTGAGATTTCTTTCGCTGCTGAATGGGAAGCTGAATGGAAGGAATAAAATACTCAATAGGATTCACAGGTGGAGGCTGGAGAGCACCCTGTTAGGATGTTTGGGGGATGGTGCTTTTGACATTAATTTATTAAAATCCCTTCAAATCTCATGTTTTTGCCAGCCTTAATTTTTTAGGAGGGAAAAATCCTATTTACAAGAAGTTACGATTTTAAATATTGTTTAAAAAATGTCAACTCTGGGAAGAAAATGAAGTAAAGTGTGGCCTTTCTGAATATTTCCCCTCACTCCGCTCTAGCTAGCACGATAGCAGCACCTTCCCAGTTTTGTTTAAATCTAAGTCTTTTCCATGGATTTATTAGTGATTGTTCTGGAGACTTCCAAGTTTGATGCCTCAAAGTTCCCCCAGAGTGTGTGTACGTGAGACTTGTTGGCTAAGGGAGCCTTCTCCTACATTGTGGGGTGCGCGGGGGTCATACAAGCTTTTACATGCACCTGAACTCTTTCCTATAAAAGTAAGTGGCCTGTGGGAAGCAGAGCAGGCTCCCTTTAGACTTGACATCAATAAGAGGCTGAATGGCCCTGCAGTGTCAACCTATAGGGTAGAGAGAGGTGGGATTGAACAACAGAGAGAGAAAAGTGAGACTTCTATGTTACATAACATTGGGAGTGGAGACCTCAATGGAATTTTAAGCTCATCTCTTTACTCAGATGTAGGGTATTTTCCAACTAGTAGCCGGTCGTGCGATGGAGGATTGCAATCGCATTAGAATGTCCCCAGACTGTTAAATAAGAACCTTCCTGTGGAGTGATAAAGCTGGTTGTACCGGGGGATCCATCCCAAGGGCATCTGCTCACTTCACAGGGACCCCCCCAGCTCGGGGCCTGCAGACCCCTGTGGATGGTGCGTGCGCACAGGGTGCCGAGTTCCCACCGGCCTCAGGCCACCAGGGCCCCAGTGGACTGTCCTTGTTCTCCCTGGGTGAAGTCAGCCTTTGTAACACAAAATGTGTTCCCAGAGGGCAACGGTCCTTTAGACACCCCTCAGTACATAAATCCGGAGAACTTGCAATCAGAGCACACAGGACAATAGAGAATCGTGCCGGTTCCGCTTTTCCCCCTCCTGTGTTGTCTGGTTGCCTCCTTTAATTTCCAGTCTCTAAGAACTAGCCACTGACCACAAGGGACTTGTCCTTGCTGCGCGTGCCCCCCAGGATAAACCAGAGCATCGCCATTCGGTAATCTGGGGGAGACTCAGGTTACTCAGGTTCACTGTGGAATGTTGTCTGTCATCAATACTAGCTGCCAGAATAAGCTGTCTTCTTTCTTCTTTTAAATTTTTAATTTTTTCACTTAATTGATTAGCACTTAATTGAAGAAGCCCCCGAAGCTTCTTCCCTGGGAGAGGGGTCAGAGGTGCTCTGGCAGGAGCAGGGGTGCGGAAGGGCCACGCTGGGGCGAGGCAGGCGGCAGGTGGGGAGGAGGCTGCTGTGACAGATGCGCCACCTCCCGGGCGGGCCCCTGGGCATGTTCCGCAGATGCTCCTGCATCCTGCCCTGGACAAGATGCGGTCCTAGCCCTGGGATGTGCGACAACAAGTCCCTGACTGTAACGAACCCAGGAGTATGGCTGAGTGGACGCAGACACGTGGCATTCACCCTAAATGTATGATGCGTGGAGGTGGGGACATATGTGAAGCGCTGGGTTAGAGAGGGTGCTGTGTAGATGGAGAAAAGGGCTGGGTGTGGGAGGCTGAGAGACAAAACCAGTCAACCGGGCAAGTCAGGGGGAGGCCAGTGCGGTGCTGAGGTGTCAGGATGGGCGGCTGGACACTGTTGTGTCACTAGCACCACTGAGGAATTTTGGAAGATCCAGTTTCTAGAAGAGGTGAAGTTTGGCTCGGTATTTATTGGCTATTAGCAGATTATCAGGCTGAAGATCCAGCAGAAAGCTGGAAACACATTTTGATGGAGAGATCAGGGCAGGAAATGACTTATTCGGGGACTATCTTTACCCATGAAATGCTCGAAGCTCTGAGCGTAGATGAAACTAACGGACACTAAGGGAGACGGCAAAAGGTCTGGATTCCTGAACCTGGAGAATTGTTACGGGGGAGGTTTGAGAAGTGGGTCTTGGAAGAACACGGACCGCTTAGGGGAGGAGGGCAAGGATCCGGAGTGTCACAGTGTTGCCACCACTGAGAGCTCCCCGAGGGAGAAAGTCAGGTGTGCTGGTCAGGGTCCTGGGAACCTCAGGGGCGTCCAGTGGGGAGCAGTGGCCCAGCTGCGAGTGGGTGCCGAGCGAGCGTTGGTGCTGAGGGAGAACCCACGCGTTGTGAATTCTCAGGAGAGTTAGTCATGAGGGGAAGAGACCCCAGTATTATGAGGATATTTTTAGAGAAACTGTAGGCAGAGCTCATAACAGTCAAACCGTACAGTTGGCACAGAGCTCACACCCTGGGCGTGGGCAGCCCAGGAGGCCCCAGCTTCCTGTGTATCGATGTTTCTCGCTGGTGGCACATCAGTTACTGTTGGAGCAGTTGATGTTGTTAGAAGTCATTTTTCTCTGACAGGCCCTTAGACGTTAAGTGTAACCCAACAGAATGGGATACGGAGCAGCTCCGTTTAACATCGCAGCAAAGTATCCGAGGTCTGGCGAGCTGGGTAAAACACAACCCTTGCATAAATTCAGCATCATCTCAGGTTTCACCTGGACACCAGCAAGTACCCACTAGTGAGATATAAAAGGTATCACAAGATAGATCCAAAGTGTGTGTAATTCCAAGACGTAATCGCTCTTCTTAAACAGGCAGATCTCGTGCAGTGAGCAGGCGTGCAGCTCGGATGAGGGCACCTGGAGAGGCTCGCTCTGGTTTCATTGTCTTTTTGTTCAACCAGCACAGCTCAGGGGTTAATGTCATTATAACCTGACATCTACTTGAGTAGATTATTGTTTTAAAAACTTTTATCCCCAAATAGATTTCCCAAGACCTCAGCTTCACGTAGGCACCTGTAGATGGGCGTAGTCTTGAAAGAGCTACACAATGCCCTGTATAATTAATTTTCATCAATAAACAAGTCCACACTGTAACTGAAGTGAGATATGATGGCCGGAACCTTCTATAGAGGTCAGTATCACAGATGCGATTCTCTGTCTCCATCCTGCCATCCTGCCATGAGCAGTTGCCTAATCTTATTCCCCGGCACAGTCTGTCCCCGACACTGGTGAGTGTGCGTCTGCACGGTGCTGGTCACAGGAGAGGACGGGGCATTCAGGACACAGCACTTGGGAAAGTCAGGCTGAGTGGCTGGTGCCTTCAGATCCCAGGTGAGAGCTCCAGTACTGGCTTGTGCAGAGCCTGTGCTCTCTGAGAGGTCAGAAGGGTGCAGGTAGATGTTAAGACAATGTCAGTTGTAATATGGGAAGTTAGACGTAAGGATAGAGGTTTGGGATGACAGAGGAGCTCTGGGTGTTAGGACAGGCTTCTTGGAGTAACCATGTCTGAGCTGAGTCCTGCGGGAGGGGCAGGAGGGGGAAGGACAGCGTGGAGTGAGCAAGGGGCATTCCTGCAAAGAGGACCTGCAAGGAACCCACCCGCCTGCAGCCTGGTGACAAGGCAGGACAAGAGCAGGCACTGACCTGAAGGTCCGAGCACCCAGGCCTCTCGTGCCGAATGGAGGCCCCTGTGTGTTCTCTCCCACTGCTGATGGCAGGGAGGACAGGAGGCCCAGGAACCGCTCTACAGGAGATGAAAATACATATGCTCAACTCATGCGCCAGCTTTAGGAGCCTCAGGGCATCACCTCCTGAGGCGCCCTCAGTGACTCAGCGGCTCAGATTCTGCCTCTGCGCCCTGGTGCTCTAGCCCTGGTGTTAAACAGCGCCCACCCCCCCAGACGCCAGCCGGCACCTGGACAGGGGGAGCTGGATCTTTCCCTGTGGCCGTTCAGAGTTATATTTCTGAGGGGTCCATGTAGATCGCTTTTATATTAATTAGCTTTGCCTTCAGTTTTTTTTCTTTACTTAAAATACGTGCTTTTTTAACCATGGTTGTCCAGAGCACTCAGAGACTCTCCTCAGTGCCTTCATTCCACATTCCGCTCGGGGACTCGACGCTTTCTGCTGACATCATGTTGCTTTTTCCGGCTCATATATCAGCTGTTTGTTTTTCTTTTTTCTTCTTTTTTAACTTTATTTTAATTTCTCCCTGTCTTTTCCTCCCCCCTCCCCCTCTCTCTCTTGTTTTCTTTTGTCTTCAGCCTGTTCTGCAAACTCGGAGTTCTTGTCAGGCATAGGATCTCACTGTTTGGTAAGGAGACCCCGCACCGACGCCAGCATGGCCGCGCCGGTCCGGTGCGGTGGCACGTGTGGTGTGCTGTGTTGCATGCGCACGTGGGCGTGGCTGCATGTGCTCGTCTGGGCTGAGACGAGGGCCTCCAGGGTGCTCCTGAGTGGCGTTACCGGTGGAGAAATGGAAGGCTAACTTTCTTATACTCATCGGAAGCACATTCGAAGATCAAAGGTTATACTATGAAAGAGCAAATGAATGCGGTGGCAGCTCTGCCGTATGTTATTCTGGAGGGTGCAGCAGAACTGGACCCTTGGATTTGTTTGGTTATCTTGATAGATTAATAATGAGCTGCTATAAATGAAAACGGTTTCACTACACTTGCCTTTTAATTCACTTGACCACACACTTGCATGACAACTGCATTTCAGACGCTGGAGCTTCAGCGTGGTTAGTGAGGCCAGGGACTCACTTAGCAAAAGTGACTTTTTAAGAACTGCCCACCCCATAGTCAGTTTGTTGGTTCCTGAGTTCACGCAGCTGAAGTCCCTGCTCCCAGCACCTGCTCCCACTGTGTGCAGGGTGGCCACCGCTCCCATGGTGTCCTTGCGGTGGGGCTGAGGGACGCTGCAGCAGCTGGCAGTGTGGGTGGGACCTTTCCTGCACCTGCTGTTACGAGCTGACACAGCAAACGTGAGCTCCATAGGTTTCCAGGCAACATTAGGGTAATTTCATTAATAAAACAGTGTACTGAAAAAGTTTTTACAAGTTTAATCCATTTACAGTAAAAACTAAGGATTAAGTCAGCTCTATCAAAGGCACAGTGAATGAGCTGAGGAGTAGGTGTATGTGTGTGTGTATATGTCTATGTACATGTACAAATGCACACAAATAACTTGTAAGTTCTAAACATTAAATTTGTTGGAGAAGTAATAGTTTCTGAATATAATTACTTGATGTCATATTTGGTTTCTAATTTATTATATCCAGTATTTGGTGTTTTTAAATTTAGTAATTAAAAGTTATATTTCATATAGATTGCCTGAATTTTTTGCATTAATATTTCAGTTATCCAAAATTAATGTGGAAATATCCTTCTTTTTTTAAAATTGACTTGAGAGAGAGAGGAGGGGGGAGAGAGAACCACTGATTGGTTGTCCCACTTATTCATTCGCTCGTCGGTTGGCTGGCTGATCCTGTATGTGTCCCGAGCGGCGATGAGCCCTTGGCCACGTGGTGGGTCAGGAGGCTCCCTTCTGGGTGACTGCCAGCGGGCTGACTTTAGCTTGACTTCTCTTCCGCGTGGCGCAGCTTCTGTGTAAAGTTCAGACGGGCGCTCACGCCCCCCTTGGCCTTCTCGTGATGACTGGGTTCCAGCATCCCCCATTTGTCTGCAGGGAGAGCTTGATAGGGACCCCGTTTCTCAGCTGCACTTTGCTTTTTAACCCTCACCGAAGGATACATTTGGGGAGAGAGAGAGAGACAGAGAGACCACTGTGAGAGAGAGACATCGATCATTTGCCTCCTGTACACACCCCAACCTGGCATCAAACCTGCAACCTGGTATGTGCCCTGATGGGGGATCGAACCCACAACTGTTCGGTGTATGGACGCTCCGACTAACTGGGCCACCGGCCGGGGCTCAGCTGCACTTTTTGCATTCTTATTAACGAGCATAGTACTTCTCTTGTGCTGTTTCCAACTTCTTACATATGGAAACTCTTGCTTTCCTGTGTTACTTCCCTCTATAACTTCCTTTTAATAATCTGTGAGGTGTTTCATACACGCAGCAAAGCACACACCTCTTAAGGACAGCCTGAGGCTATAGCTTGAAGACATGTTATGTGTCTGTACCCATTTGCTCGGCCAAGGCGTAGAATATCTCTAGCGTCCCTAAAGCCTCCCTCCTACCTTTCCCCAATTTATAAGCCTCAGAAAAGGAACTATATGGAGACTTCCGCTACCACGGATTTTTTTGACTGTTCTTTAACCATCTTTCCTTCTGACTGTGTAACTCGTCAGACCTAGGAGGAGAGAGAACTGGACTTTAACATTTTTTCCATCTCCGTGTGATTTTGATATTGCTTTCAGGAATTGCATTTTAAATCCCTTAGCATTTAAATACTATTTTTAAAAACTTTAATAGGAACTGACTGGAGAGCTACCGTGTGTCTTTTCTTCAACATCATATTTTTGTGAATTCTTTATATTTTTCTAGTGTCTGTTATTGTTTCAGATTTGCTTTGGCATTTTCCTGTAAAACAACCCAAACCTCATGAGGCCTTTATTAATCAAACATACTCCACTACGGACATGCCCAAGTGTCAGATTCTCTAAGACGTGCAAACTGTCTTTTCCCCCTTGCATACCAAGAGGCACTTTATTTTTAATCTGTGATTGTTTCTTCAATAGCTGTTGAAAGCTTTTCTGGGTTGTTTTTACAAGTTATTAACCCTAATACTTGTGAGCCCCATTGTGGTCGCAGAAGCACGTGTGATCAGGACCCTTGAGACAGGGCTGTCTCGGTAACTTGAGCACAGCTGTGTCATCACACTCCTTAGTCCTGGGGGTTACGTGAATTTACCTCTGTGCATGATAACTTCATGCCAGAGCAGCTGCAGGCCTCCCTCTTTTTTTAACTTTATTTATATTGTTGACATTATTACAGATGTCCCCCCTCCACCCCTGCCCACCTCCGTAAGACGCATAAACTTTAGACGATACAGTTGCAGCCTGTGTCCTGGAGAGAGCAGTGTGGCTTTGAGTCAGAGGACCCGGGTGCAAGTCCTGTGTGTATAACTGAACCAGTGAATGCTCTGGGCAGGGTCTCACCCTCCCTGAAGCTTAGGCTTTTATTTTTGAATAGGTGGAAATAACTAGCCTACTAATCTTTTTTTTCAAATTTATCTTTATTGTTGAAAGTATTACAGATCTCCCCCTTTTCCCTCATTTATCCCCTCCCCCCTGTACCCCTA